TCATTGGTAGTCACATTGCCAGGTTATGTAGTACTGAACTTTAGCTTTCCTCCAAGGCTTTCTCTATATGAAAGACTCAGGAAGGCAATTCTTATTTTGAAAAAAGTTAATGATTTTTTTTCTATGGCCTAATCATCACATAGTATTCTTTGTTTCACTTCTCACTGAATAATAATAATAGCAGAAGGAGCATGAGACAGCTGGCCATGTTATACCAGGACTTCATGACATGGTGCCACCCACAGGTCCCTACCATCCTAATTAACTTAACCTAGAAACAGCACTAACAGGCATTCCCAGAGGTTTGTTCCCATGATGATTCTAAATTACATCAGGTTGACAATTAAGATTAACAATGGCTCTATCTCTTGTCAACTTTATACTTAAACACATTACTTTAATCCATAACCTTCTACTCATTGTCCCCACAGGCACATGAACATCTCATAACACAAAATGAACTCGGTCTAACTTAAGTCCCCACAGCCTCAAAATTTAAGCTTTACATGCAGAGCTTTTTTTTTTTCTTCTAAAATCTTGCCAATTTCCTAACTATTATCTACTTACAAAAATCACCAAACAAGAAACAAATTATATACTTTCAACATACAATGGTATAGAGCAAACAAGTATTCCATTTTAAAAGGGAAGAGGAGGGGGAACATCAAAGACAGATAAGACAAAAGCAAAACAAATTCCCAAAACATCAAATCATGTAGTTTCACCTTCAGTATTGAGGGCTAATAACAGAATCATCTGCGTTCCAAAGGGCTTGGGTAGCCTTTTTTTCTAGCCTTGCTGCCTACATAGCCTCTCCCTTGAGGCAGTGTCACACCATGCAACATTAAACAAGTGTATCCCTTGATTCTGGAATCTACAACATTCTGGAATCATCATTGTAACTTAGGCTTTACCTTTACAACTTCACAAGTGGCTCCTGAGGGTCTCATTGCAAGATTGACACATTTTGTTGCCTCAGCAGCTCTCTGAAATTATGACTTAAGATCCAGGACCACCTCAGTTTGCATCTTCACGCTTGGACAATGCTTCCAAGTATGGAGCCTGACCTCCTAGGACTTGTGTTGCAGTAGTGTCTTTGAGTCTCTGTTCTGAGTTTGGGAAAACACTTTCCTAGACAGTTGTTTTCCCAGTAGATTCCTTGTTCTACTCCAAAACTTTATAAGCCAAGCCTCCAAGGACCTTGTATTCATTAGTATTCTGGTCTCTCAAACTCCCATTATAGTGGCCTACTAATATCTGCTTAGAGCATGCTAGAGTTTTTCTGGCTTAAAGTTCCAAATTTGTCTACATTCCTCTTGAAAATATGTTCCAAAGACCTATGACCACACAGCCAAATTTATCACAGCAATGGCCCCACTACTGGTACTAAATATTTTGCATTAGTTGCTTTCTTTGTTTCTATGATAAAACACCTGACAAGAGCAACTTCAGAAAAGAACTGTTTATATTGGCTCACAGTTAGAAAATGTAATAATCCAGCATAGCAGAGAAGACATGGTAACAAGAGCTTGAAGTTGCTGGTTAGATTACATTTGTAGGCATGAAGCAAAAACAATGAATGCTGGCCTGAGACTCACCTTTATTTTCAACTTTTTATCTAATTCAGGACTTCAGCACGTGGAATAGTACAACCCACATTTAGGGTGAAATTTCTCCACCTTGAGTAACATAGTGAAGAAACTTCCTCATAGACATATTCAGAGGTTGCTATGGTTACTGAACATCCCATTGAGTTCACAACCAACCTTAACCATTACAGTAGTTAGTATACATCTAGGAAGTTGTTCATTTCTTCTAGATTTTCCAGTTTATTAGAACATAAGTTCTCAAAAATATTCTCTGCTGTTCTTCTTGAATTCAGTGGTATCGATCTGCTTTAGCATCATCTTTGGTTTTAAACTTTATTAACTTGAGTATCTTTTCCCTTTATTTGGTTGCTTGTCTTATTTAACTTTACAAAGGATTAACAGTGTGATGTTTTTTACTCTTTTGGCTTTTGGGGGAAGCCTGATACCCAGCTCCCAAATAAATCACACACATGGAGGCTTATTATTGCTTATGAATGCCTGGCTTTTTCTTATCTTAAATTAACCCATCTACCTTTTCCCTCTGGGCTTTTATCTTTCCTTTGGATATCTTTCTTTCCTTTTTACTCTGTGGCTGACTGGGTGGCTGGCCCCTGATGTTCTCTTCTCCTTGTTCTTTTGTTATTCCTTCTTCCTTGTTTTCTCCTCCGGTTTTGTTCTCTTCCTGTCAGCCCTGCCTATTCTTGCTCCTGCCTCACTATTGGCTATTTAGCTTTTTATTAGACCACTGGCTGTTTTAGACATGCAAAGAATCACAGCTTCACAGAGTTAAAGAAATGCAGCATAAACAAAAGTCACACACCTTAAAACAATATTCTACCACATACCTGAACAGTATCCCACAGTAGGAATGTACTGTATATTATTTGGCTGTTCATTTCCTGATGGTTAAATATTTTTTACTTTTCTAGTAACATCTCAATGATACTGCCACAAATACATTCATCATAAGCGGTGGAGTGGCAGTTGCTGAATAGGCTAGCTTAAAAGGCAGCAACAATTAAAAAATAAATGGGCATCCATCGCTACCAGCAACAACAGCTAGGCTGCAAGAGTGAAAGCCTGAGGGAATCTGTTTGCTCAGGCACCAATTCTTTCAAAGCTACTAAGGATATCTTTTATTTAAATCTGTCCCACTAAAGAACTCGATTCAAAGACTGAGGTGGAATCCTGCTTCCAAGAGAGGCTGAATAGCAAGCAAGCAGCTCACCTCTTCCTATCTCCCAAGAAGTCCTTGTGTGTTTTCTCCTTATAAACCCTTCTCCACCTGCCTCCTCCTGACAATTTCCTGTCAGCTAGTTGTTCATGCAGCCTCCTGACTGCAGGTGAATTTTATTTAATCAAACATCTCTTTGCATCATTAAACAAATATTCCAGATCATAAACAAACAACGCAGGTGCTAAGAGAAATAGTTACCTATATGTAGAATATGAAAAGATGACTATATATATGATATGGAAAAGAGCCAAATGCAAATATATGTATGTGTTCAAACATATGCACATATACAGAACACTATGCATGCATAGCTTGTTTAATTATATTTGTTAATATTTATAACTTCATATTGCTTTCTAGCAGTAAGTTAAAGACTCATCATGTCTAAATGGTCTAATCTCATTCTTACAGTAATTCTGTAAAGCAGGTAATTATTTTACCTGCTGCAGAACTCTGGAGGCCCACTCTGGTCTGCATAACATATTAGAAAACAAACGAGATTCCAGCTCAGAAGCCCACAATTCCAGCTGCCGTAACCTGTGATGTGATTTCTTATCATTTGTCCTCTGTATGAACATGGGGCATCCTTGTACTTAGTGGCCATGTTGTATGCAGCTCACACATGAGCTAGGCTGAATAAGCTACTTTCAAGATCCTTCCTTCATTTCGAATAAATGTCCAGGCTTCAGAAACCTCCTGCAACACTCATGAAAGCTTTACTTCTCTATAGAGGACATCTTCTAACTGCCACCCTCTGCCCCATGATGCTATTACCATTTTGGAATTCAAAAGAGAGTTAGCTTGTTTTCTGTCTTCTTGCTGGCTTTAAGAACTTTGGTAAATTCTTGATTTAGACTTCAAGTCACTCTTGAAGCAAATTTGTAACATAATTATTACAGTTGTAGCTGCTAGGATAACCTAGGTCTACAGTCCAAATTAAACATTAGCTTGTACTGTGTCTAGGGTTGAAACTAATGTGCCCAAAGAAATATACAAAGAGACAATGATGTTGAAACATTTTAAGTACAAACAGGAAAGTTCTGTGCTTGCAATGACAAAGCCATTTCATCTAAAATCCCACTCTGATTCATTTGTTTGTTCCTTCCCAGTGGCTCCTTTCACTCCCAACTTTTAGCAGTCATGTGCCTGAGCAAGTCAGTTCACTCTTTGTTAATGCTTTTGATAGCTGTGTATACACAAGCTGTCTCCTTGCATTCCATATCGATTTAATATAGTTTTAATTCCCTAGAGCAACTGTGTTCACTAAGTAACCTCAAGGTTTGGAACACTAGAGTTTGTGTCAGAAACACATGTTTTAAGAGCCTTTATAGTGCAGAGGAGAAGGTTTTAGTCACTAAGATTACATTGAGGGGGCATTACTTCCTCCTACTTTGTGCTTTCCACAGTCCACCTTGCATGCACAAAGTTTTGGTTGGTTACTGTTTATTGCTTTCTAGAAGGAACTGGTTTTGCACCATTCTTTGTGATTTCAATTCCATTTTTTTTTCAAAGATTGTAGGTCTGAGAATGGGGAAAAAGCTGGGTACAGACACTGTTATTTATGACACAGCTAATTAATGGTATCCTCAATCCTGCTTACACCTCTTCTTGGTCAAAGCAAAAAGAACGAGGAAGTTATAGGAACGGGGTCTTTATGAGAGGAACAGAACTGAATACATGGAAGTTTATCACATTGGGGGATACCAAGCCTGAATTTCCACATAATTGATCTGTTTCTCAAAACTACGTTAAGAAGTAATGATCTTTGCTGCCTGGACCACCTTCCACCACAGCCACCTTGCTAGCTAATTTGTTTGCAGGCCTCTTAGAGAGGGTTTAGGTGATTTCTTGTGGAAGAAAAACGCAGGCTCCAAAGCTTTTCCTCTAACTAAAACAAATCTGTTGTGTAACGCTACAGCTGGTTCAGAGTACAGGTGCATGCTCTTGGCTCCTGCTCTGCCCTGAGGAGGCAGAGGGGGTGAGCCCAATCCAGTCAGGTGTGGGGGAGGAGGAGACCCACAGTAGAGTTGCACAGTGTTGCAACCTAGCCCATACCAAATCTCTGGGAGAGTTTCTGGCTGCCTTTATGTCTCTGTGAGCAACTCAAGACCCCCAACTCTCCAGAATGGGATGTTAACCCTAGAACCACTCAGAGATCAAGTAGGGAGCTGAAGGAAGTCTGAGAAGCACTTCCTGTCTGAGAGTCTATAATCTTTCTTCACGTCTTATGGATCACAGGCTTCCCATTTGAGATATCAGAACCAAAGGCTGAAATTCCTCAAGGTAAGAAGACTCCCCTCTCAGGAAATGGACTCCTCCAATGTCCTTACATGATTATTCAGGCACTTTCACTTTTCCATATACAGGAGTCACCCGGGAGCAAACTGACCAGCTGAAGGGAGTGACACATCTGTATTCCACCCACTCTCTCCCTCTTTGCTCATCCTTACCCTCTCCTCACGTGCTCATAGGCACTTATGCAGAAGTCATCCCTGTGACTCTGCCAAAGACCAGCCTATTGGTTTTGTAGGGGGAGGAAAAAAAGAATAAAAGAAGCTGCAGGCAAAGTTACAGCACTGAAATTGTCATCTTGGAAAAGTGAAGTCGAAAAGTGTGGCACAATGAATGGACCTGTGGATGGCTTGTATGACCATTCTCTAAATGAAGAAGGAGCCTTCATGTTTACATCAGAGTCTGTAGGAGAGGGGCATCCAGGTAAGTAGTTTGTCCTGAGCTCGGAGGCACGCCTGGCATCCCCAGCCTATGCCCAGGAAGTCACTTTTACTAGATACCTTAAAAACAACGTTCACCAGTTGTTGTAGTGAGTCTCTCCAGAAAGAGTGTGAGCTAGTTGGAAATCTGTCATATATCTTGAAGCCTACATCCATGATGCTGCCTCTCAACAGCAAGGGCTGGTTGCTATATACTATATGTATTAACAGAACTAAATTAAAATAATATGTTTTTGAGTGAAGCTTTCATCTATTACCAGTGACCTATTAAAGTCAAAAGAGAGTGGTCCTCAAGCAAGAGCAAGTTTTGCACATAAACTGTGCACAGATTGGAAAGAAACAGCTCTGAACTCTAATGGGTGTTGAGACAGAGCTCCAGATAGCAAGGATCTCAGAGAGATTTTCTGACACAAGTATAAACTTCCTAAAGAGCAGTGATTCTCATCCTGTGGGTCATGTCAAAGGACTCTTTCATAGGGACCACCTAAGACCATTGCAAAACACAGATATTTACACTGTAACCTATAACAATAGCAAAATTCCAGTTATTAAGTAGCAAAGAAAATTTTTTCCTTTTGGATTTTTAAGACAGGAATTCTCTGTGTAACAGCTTTGGCTGTCCTGGAACTTGCTCTGTATACAAGGCTGGTTTTGAACTCACAGAGATCCACCTCTGCCTCCCAAGTGCTGGGATTAAAGGCATGCACGACCATGCCTGACTAAGAGAATACTTTATGTTTGGGGGTCACCACACCTTGAGAAACTGTAGTAAAGTGTTGCAGCATTAGAAAGGCTGAGAACAACTGCTGTGGAGGAGCATTCAAGCATTATTTTTGGTCCTGGAAAGGGGGATAGATTGTGTTGTAGAGAAGCTAGAGGCAATTTTCAGTCACAGGACCATGAGTCAGAAGTTCTGATGGTAGGATGGAGGTTGTCAAGGTTTGGATTACAGAAGCATCATCATATAAGGCTCGATGAAGGCAAGGTCTGGGACTTATTCCTAGTGTCCAGTTTGGTAGGTCTTGGTAGAATCTTAAGAATTCTAATTTGTAACAGCTCTAGAAGGTACTGCCTCTGCTGGGATATGAACACCACATTGAGAACCAATGTTCTAGGAGAATTCTGGTATTAGGCACACTGATTTGAGGACTTATGGACTTCTTCACACTTATTTTGAGTGTTTACAGTAGGCGTTGACTTGTCACCTAGCCTAATTCTTCCCACCTTCTTTCTCCAAGAAATTTAACTTGAAACTTGGCTTTGGAAGTTTCAATACACTACACCTGTGTACTTATCCCCTGGCCCCCAACTGAAGGCAATTCTAAGCCCCTCCTTCCAGAAATATTTTGTTTTGTCTAGGAAAATTTTGATTGTTAAATTCTAGGGCTTAGAGGCAAGATGCTCCTGGAGTGTGTGGGGCCAGACATGCAGCTAAACATCACATGGCACATAAGAAAATTATTTGGTGCAAAATGTCAACAATGTGGCTGTTGAAAAACCTTGGATCAGATTATCTAATGTGAGGCTTCATTAAATATAAATAGCTGTTCTTATCACATTTCTTTATAGGTCAATTTTAGATACATCCTAGTACCTGACACATACTGGTCAGCTCCGTAGTTTCTGAAAGTCATCTATATGTTAAAAAAACTTACTATGCTTAGAGGAAATGAGTTCTTTGGCACCCAGAGGATACTTGTTTCAAGTGTGGCCCATTGTGTACAGCAGCAATGTGTTTAGTGGACAAAGCATGAAATCTTCTGCCAGTCTACTGACTGTCTTGACTCCTTAGTGGTTTTACTATCAGTTTGTCTCATTTGCCATTCACTTTCTACTGTAAATTAAGTGTTCAAATAAGTTGGTTTCTTCTAATGCTTCATGATCTGTTTACTATTCCATTACTGAATTCTCTCAGATCAGAAAGATAAAATTCATGTTTCTTATTAATCTTCCAAGAGAGCTACCATTTATTGTCTTACGCCTACTAATGATGGAAACCTTAGAAGCCTAAACAGACTTCTCAGAAAGGATCCCTTCCAGAAATGGATGTAGTTCAGTGGTATAGAGCTTGGGTAGCATGTTCAAGGCCCTAGACTTAGTGGCTTCACCCCCAGCAAGAAAAATTAAAATATTTGAATTGTAATCTCAACACTTGGAAGCTGGAGAAAGGGGGGTTAAGATATCAAGATTATCCTTGGCTATATAGCAAGTTCAATGCAAACATCATGTGTGACCCTGTGTCTCAAAAAATCCCAGAAAGAAGGGGGAGGGAGGAGAGAGAGGAGATCCCTCAGGGATGTAGGAATTATAAATCAGGTATCTTAATGACCTTGCTGGACTCTTAACTTTTCCCTATGATTGTATTCCCTACATACTGGTACCTGTATGAGCTGGTACTTTAAATAAACAGGATGTGTGGATGTCTGTCTGCAGTTAACCTATGAATAGTTTCTAGGCATCTTGACAGTTCAATATTGGCCTCCATGTAATTTATTTTAGGATGTCAGGCGGCCTTTACTGATAGGAGTGGCAGAAGCTATGGACTTATATGCACCTGGATTTAAAACCAGCATTTACCACTGACAGGAAGTGAATAGAACAATCCACCATGCTTTTCATAGTCATTTCTGAAGGAAAGATGAGAAAATTTACCTTTAATGGCAGATTAATTTGTATCTTAGTATCTACTTTTGAGAGCTAACCTTCTTGACTTAGGATCTGAATTGTCAAAGATTATCTCTTGGGGCAGGAGAGACAATCAGTGGTAAGAGCACTCACTGCTTTGGCAGAAGACTGGTCCATTCCAGCTTCAGGGGACCAAACATCCTCTTCTAGACTCCATGTGCTCCCATGTGCACATTCTTCCACACAGATTACACAATTAAAAATAAATATTTTCCAAAGCACCCTTAAAGAGCAGACTCTGGGCATTTTGAATATATAAGGAAAGACAATATTCATTAAATAGGACTCTCTTTTATTCCTAATTTGTTAATAGACACACTTTAGCTGGAAAGCAGGAGAGAATTGTGCATACTGACACTTGGTGATCTACATGTTAGACCACACTAGTCCTTTAAGGCAAACAACAGATTAACATCAGTTCCCAGCTCCTGCTGAATCTTTGTCAGTTCCATCTTAACCCAGCTATCAGGCATCTGACTTGCAGGAGGTTAAGTGACCAGTGGGAGGAACTGAGAGCTTATAGTAGTGCTCTGCTGAACAGCAGTGATGCACGTGGGTTCCCTTGTGGTGTTCTCACGGTGGCACCTTCTGCCTGGGGTTGTGTTTTGCATCTGATTGACTGTATCTATGGAACTTTCAGTATGGTATTTATCTGGTCTCACCACTCAGTACCTAATATTACTGATGTTATGGAGGACTTTAGACTATAGCCAGAACTTTTCTAGATGTTAGAAATAAGGAATAGATTTTATTCCTGAATAAATGAAAGACTTTAATGTGATTATAAATTAAATTACTTAGACTCCTTTTTGGGGGGGTGTTTGAGACAGGGGTTTTCTGTGTAACAGCTATGGATTTCCTAGAACTCACTTTGTAGATCAGGCTAGCCTCAAACTCATTGAGATCTGTCTGCCTCACAAGTGCTGGGATTAAAGGAATGTGCCACCAAACACCTGGCAAATTACTTAGACTCTTAGAAGAGCTGGTTTTGAAATGTATTTTCCTTTTAAGGAATTCCATGATATTATGTAATGCATGCCATCCAATATGATGTAGGGATTAGAAGAAATTAAGAATTCAAAATATTCTTAATTTCTGGAGCTCATAAGGCCTCATTCCTACCCCAAAAGCTATTATATTGGCAGCTAATGGCAGCTAAGGGAGGGGAGGTCATTTTCCTTCTGTGGGAAAGTGATTGGCAAATCTGTCATGCTTTGGTAACTAATACCACACCCACACTCATGTATGCAACCCCAGGCAGACACAGTGGGTCACCTCTACAGCAAAGTAGAGGGGGAAACCAAGAAAAGGCTCAGAGGGAATGAAAGGGCATGAGAGAGGGTACAATCAAAATATATTATACACACATATGGCCGGTCATTGGTGGCTCACACCTTTATTCCCAGCACTCAGGAGGCAGAGGCAGGCAGATCTCAGTGAGTTGGAAGCCAGCCTGGTCTACACAGTGAGTTCCAGGACAGGCTCCAAAGCAACAGAAAAATCCTGTCTTGAAAAACTAAAAGAAAAAAATATACACATATGAAAGTGTCAGAGAATAAGTATAACCTTCAAAATCTACAAGGACTCATCTGATAAAGTATTTATTATTTCTGATATTTGAGAAAATATATTTATCTTTGATTGGTAGATTTGATAGGCAGACTGATAAAAATGTCAAATTATTTTAGCATTTAACTTTTCTATGCTTAACAATGATATAATCTGTTACACTTAGTATTTGTTCTTATTCAGATAAGATCTGTGACCAGATTAGTGATGCGGTGCTGGATGCCCATCTCAAGCAAGACCCCAATGCCAAGGTGGCCTGTGGTAAGAGACAAGCACCCTTTATGCTGGAGACTTGAGTGTGTCAGACAGAGAAGTTCATGGTGGACATAAGACTATAGAGTCATACTCATCAAGTTCAAAGTAAATGACCTCCTGTCTGCAGGAGATGTCATCACCACCATAACTATTTTCATTAGGAGTGAGGAAACCTTTAAAATTTCTCAGATGATCTTCCAGAGGAAGTAAAAAGCTTGAAATGCTTGAGGCTGTCTAGAGGATCATTATGATGGCTCTATATGTCTGGATTCTTCTCTGATTTTATTCCCTAGCTTGTGGTATGCCCCAAATGTGAAAATAATTATTCATCCCATTTACCAGCAATCAAGAACAGCAGTTCCATCAACTGTCCATAACCAAACCAATGGCTTTCCAGAGAGTTCTCATGGTTGAAAATAGTACTGAGGTTCTTGTTTACACCATGTGTCCAGTGTTTCCTGGAGCTCCATGTAGGCAAAACACCTCTACTGTTTGTGGAATAAGTTCTCCAACACCAAAGCCTTGCCTGATAGAAGGCCTTGCCACACAACACAGCCTTTATCTTCAGAGCTTGGAAGGCCCAGGTCCAACTTCTGACCTTATTAATGGGGCCACAGTGGTGGCTGCACTAGGACCTTTGCAATAGCTTATGGGTTAAGTTAGGAAGCCCTAGTGTGGAGACCAGAATTCACTGTCAGTTTCCATGCTGTGTCCTCTCCTCTGCACAGACCTTCCTTCCTTCTCTAGAGGTATCTCAGCCCTTGTCATGTACATCAGATCCCCATGCTATTTGAAGCGTAGATCCTGATAGCTTTGGAACAAACAATAGCACTTTCTGGAAGTGCCTATCCACACTAACTTCTTGGCTAGAACTCTTGCTCCAGTTCTTAAAATTTGCACGAGAACTTCTGGCAGTAGATAGTCATGCAATTTTTTTTTTTTTTTAAAGAAAAGTTCCTTTTGAAAAAAATCAGTTTGTTTTGATCATTGGATCATGAGATTCCACACATCATAGCAGAGTTCTGCTATCGTGTATGTGTATGTGTGTGTGTGTGTGTGCGTGTGTGTGTGTGTGTGTGTATCTATGTGTGGCATGCATTCCTCATGCTCATTATGAAAGCCACATTGCTCAAGACATATTAAATATGTTGTCCAAGACAACAGAAGTAGTCAATACTTTGCACAAAACTTAAAGACAATTCATTCTTCCCAAAGCTTCACTCTCTGACAGCCCTTGAAGACACTCAGTTGTTAGTGTTGGAGGTGTTCTTTTTGTTGGCACAGTTATTCTTTCTTAGAAAGTACTCCTCATGAAGCCTCCCCCCCCTGCCCCGCCCAGCCTTTTTGTCTCCATTTTGAAAGACTAGATTCTTGAGCTTCTGTCTGATGGCCCAAGACTGTTACCTGCCTTCTTTCCCTTCCAGAGACAGTGTGCAAGACAGGTATGGTGCTGCTGTGTGGGGAGATCACCTCAGTGGCCATGGTCGACTACCAGCGGGTGGTGAGAGACACCATCAAGTACATCGGCTATGACGACTCTGCCAAGGGTGAGGATGGACTTGTTGTGTCTGTGTGCATGTAGGTCTGTACTGTATGCTTCTGTCTCCCAAATGGAGTCAAATCTCATCCTTCAGTTTTATAGAAGTACAAATTCTGTCTGTCTAGAGGACAAACAGCCCATCACTCATATGGTTCTGTGGAGGACTGCAGCTGGTGGGGCCAGCATGTACCCATCCACTATTGACAAGCCCATTTAAAGCCTGGCCTTCTGGTGCTGGCAGAAGCTTTGACTGGAGCTCCTAAAGAAGGGAGCTGCCCTCTAGTGACAACACGCTCTATGCCAAGCACGGGTGCTAGTGTCTTTAGATGTCATCTGATTTCATCATTCCAGAACCCCTGGTGTGTTCCTTATGTAAAGTAGAGTATCCTTACTTAGAGCATAAATACAGTGGGATGCCACCAGGGCACGTGCTTCTGTACTTTCTACTGAGCTACACTGCATCTTGCTACAGATGCAGAGAATGAGGCTTGGGCCTGAGCACAGGTAAAGGAGACAGGGAAGCCCAGGTTAACACCCATGCCAGGGGGTGTAGGAGCTGAGACCCAGGGATGAGGTACAGGCCAGGCAAGGAAGTAAGGGGACCAGGAAGCACCAGGTAATGCAAGCAGAGCTGAAGGCTTCTCAGCAGCTGCCACTGCTTAATGTCTGGGCAGGCCAGGAAACCACCCAGCCCAGGAGTGCATCAGAAGACCCAGGACATGAGCACCTGTTTGCAAAGACATTTTGGTAGTGCTTCCAGTGCCCTTTATCCATACTAGCTTCCTGGATAGGGCTCTGACCTGACTTCTTAAACGTTCCACTATAGCATCTAGTGGTAGGTATTCATATATTTGCATTTAATTTTTTCAGATTTATTTATTTAAAGAAAAAGTCCCTTGAGTCTCTGTTGACCTCTCTCAATTCCCAGAGGTCACTGTGAGAGACATGGTGACCTTGAGTAATAGCAAGAAAGTCCACTTCTTTGAGGTTGGGGATGTATTAGAATGGCTGGGAAGAGAAAGAATGCATGCAAGTTAATTTTACCACCTAAGATGTGAAGGCTTCATAGAAGAACCTTATTGTCCCAGAGGACAGCATCTTGAGATGTTACCATTATACTCTAAGAAATATTCCGATTATACTCTAAGAAATATTCAAGACCAAACCTTGCATTAGATAATAAAGAAACTTTGCATGTTCTTTAGAAAGGGCTAAGTGAAAGAACTCAACTCTGGCTGAATTGTACTTGGTTAGCACTAGGAAGATGCATTATTTAGACTCGATTAGGCAAATGGAAAAAGTCTTAATAAACAGATAGAGCCCTTTGGCACCTCTCTAATGACTTGTCACTGATTTCTACAACAAAAACATCCACTGGGGGATGGTGGGGACAAGAGCAGGCAAAGCGCAAAGGCAAAGAGGGACTTCTTGGCCTCAGACGACCCAGTGTGAGGTGTTCTATGTGAATCTGTTTTCATCTTATGCAATAAGGGAGTAGAATTGCATGAGTGAAATGTCCAGGGACGCTAACTAGGAGCTAGTCCAGTTTGGGTATGTGGGGAGGAGCCAGAGGAACAACATTCTATCCAGAGGTACTAGGGGAGGTGGAAAAGTACATAATGCTTAAGGCTATCCCTAAGTTTGTTGTCTAAAAGAGTTCTGGCTCCATGATAGTCTTTCCTTCTTCTTCTTCTTCTTCTTCTTCTTCTTCTTCTTCTTCTTCTTCTTCTTCTTCTTCTTCTTCTTCTTCTTCTTCTTCTTCTTCTTCTTCTTCTTTTAAATTTTATTTATGTTTCTTATTTTACGTATCTATCCCAGTTCCCTCTCTGTCCCTCCCTCCCTCCCTCTCTTCCACCCTCCTATGCTCCCCCCCCCACTCCACAGGTAGGGTGATGCCTTCCAAGAGGGGTCATCTAAATCTGTCATGTCATTTGGAGTAGGGGAGGCCCTCTCTCCTGCCTCTAGGTTAAGGGAGTATCCCTCCATGGGGAATGTGCTCCCAAAGTCCTTTTGTGCACCAGGGATACATCCTGGTTCCATTGCATGACAGGACTTTCTGTTAGTGAGGCTTCCTTGAGTTAGCACCCAGAATGCTAGAGGTATACCCCCAACTCTGTGCTACAGCATTGAAGAAGGAACCTGGGCCTCTGAGGTTTAACTTTTTTCTGAATTTATTTTTTACATTCCAATCCCAGTTCCTCCTCCCTCTTCTTCTCCTGCTCTTCCCACTTCCCCTCACCCCACCTTTCATCTGCTCCTTGGAGAGGAGCCTCCCCTAGGCCTCCCCTAGGAAGTCTAAGTCTGTCTCATCAACTCATTGAGGCAGGACTAAGCTACCGCCCCACCATGCCTAGGCCGAGCAAGGTATCTTTCTATATAGAATGGGCTCCACAAAGTCAGTTTGTGCATTAGAGTTAGATCTTTTTTAATTTGTTATAGGACCCCAGCTCTAGGAGTCTCTCTAGATGATTCATGTACATGGTGCTTATTATTCAGGATGTATGTATATAGCAAATACACACATACACACATATGGGTAAGGCACATTGAAAAGACCCTTGATTTTCAATCAGTGCAGAGATATTCTCTCTTCCCCCCCTCTCCTTCCCCATCCTTCACTCTCTCCATCCCTCCACCTCTTTCTTCTTCTCCTTTCCTCTCTCTCAGACAGGGCTTAATATAGCCAAGACTTGCCCAAAACTTCATATGCAGCCAAGATGGCCTCCTGCCTTCACGTCAGAGGTGCTGGGATTACAGTCACCACCATGCCTTGTTAGTGCTATGACTTTCAAATGAGATTCTGGAGGGTTCCTCTGGGATACTCAGAGAAGCAAGCCTATAAGTTGCTCGCCTACTTGTCAGAGTGTCCTTGGTGCTGTCAGTTATGGGTTGTCACATTTCTCTGTACAGTATACTTTTTGTTTTTAACCCAAGTATAAATTGGATACAGTAAAATATATCATTGAGAATCTTCTCTTTCTACAAGACCATGGAAGGAAATATAAGGTCTTTCACCAACCTGGGCCTCAGCTGTGAACCAGAGGCTACCTCCCCTAACACTAAATGCCACATCAGTGATTGAGAAGTCCACCAAGAAACTTATAGTCCTGTCTTGACACGTGTCCCCATGGCTTGCTTCTGTTCAGGTTTCGACTTCAAGACCTGCAATGTGCTAGTGGCTCTGGAGCAACAGTCCCCAGATATTGCCCAATGTGTCCATCTAGATAGAAATGAAGAGGATGTCGGTGCAGGAGATCAGGTATGTAAACTGTGTGAGGGGTGGAGCAGTGTGGTTTGTTTGGACTGAGCTATGATCCATGAGAAGGCAGTTGGGTTAATTATACTATGGGTGGTCTTGTCACTCTAGAGATCTGGGAAGGATCTCACCTGCAGTATGCTGAGCACTGCTTTGCTACCTGGCAGCCCTGTTAGGCTGTGTGGGAGAAGGCTGTGCTTGCTAATGACAGATGTAGGTTCGTGTCCTCTTTCCAGATTGTTGGGGTGGTCAGAGGTAGTATCTTCCCTCTTTAAAATGCACAGCACATGTTGTTCTATAGGGGGTACCCCCCCACACCATAATGGTTGAAGCACCAAACAAAATATGAGATTTGGAGAATGTTACTGCTCTGAGCTCTAAGGCAGGTATTCTATTCCAGGGACTGATGTTTGGCTATGCCACAGATGAGACAGAAGAATGTATGCCCCTCACCATTGTCCTGGCCCACAAACTTAACACCCGGATGGCAGAACTAAGGCGCTCTGGTGTCCTTCCCTGGCTGAGACCTGATTCTAAAACTCAGGTGAGTTGCGTCCATCACCTCCTGCAGACCTAACTACAGGAGCTTCAAGTACACCAAATTACTTTGGTTCTGGCCATGTCTATTTTGTTTTTAATTCATTAATTTATGATTTCATAACACACACACACACACACACACACACTCACAAAGCACACACGCATGCATACACACATATACACATACTCTTGTTTATATGCCCTGTTATCCTCTCTTCTTTCTCTCTCACTTCCATTAAGCATCTTCCTTTCTCTAACAAGTCCTCCCTCCCACTGTTATGTCTTTATTTGTGTGTATACCCATTGTACTTAATCGCAGTTGCTTGCAGGATCATAAGTAGGGGGTTACTTACCATTTATTGTCTATAGCTCCTCAGGGAGAGTGGGTGTTATGAGCCATCTTCTATTCATAATGCTACGTTGATAGGTCCAGCCCTGTGCAGATATTATGCAGGTAGCTACAGCTGCTGTGGATTCATGGGTACAATGCCATGTCATATCTGGAAAGCAGCATTTCATAGCTCTCCTTCCCATCCTGGCTCTTCTTGCATTCTTACCATCCCCTCTTCCACGTTGTTCCCTGAACTTTCAATTATATGATAGAGACAGTCCATTCAGGATAGGCACTCATACCCATTCAGGATAGGCACTCATATCCATTCAGGACAGTCATTCAACAATCACTTATTCTCAGCACTTGGACCAGACCAAGGCGGATTCATCAGAAGTTTAAGAATATAAATCCAAATATTTAGAAGGGACTTGACATTAAATCTACTTAGTAAAGCAACAGTAGTAGGCTCCACATTCAGGCCTGTGCTCTCCCCAACCATGGGCTTTTGACTAGGTCACAGTACTAGTCATGAATTTGCTCCTGTGTAGGGAGCCTCAAATCTAATTAGAAAGCTGATTATGCCCCAGTCACAGTATTTATAGGATGGAAATAGTCTATCTAGCTACTCCATTTGGAAAAGAATCATTATTTGGAAACTCAGGGCAAATGTACTTCCCATCCTTACCCTCATCAAAATTTACTATAAAAATATTTTAAAAATTAGACAAGTTTAAAATATAGTTTTTATTTTTATTTTGCTTTATTTTGTAAGCATATGTAGACTCTGATGATTCTTTGGGTTTTGCCACAGACTTATTCACCAAGTTCAGATGTGTAGACCCTGCCTCTATGTGCACACAGGTCTAGTCTCCCCACCATGAGCAGACTGTCTCCCTGTGGCCCCTTTCCTTGTTTTTATCCTTGATGTGTCCAGTTCTAGCCCTGTGGGCCCTGACCTTACTCCTCTGTGTCATGGTGAAATCTATTTCTATTTGAAGGACAATGATGATGCAAATGTGAGCATACATGGAGCTCCCATTCACTCTTCCAGTCTCCTGATTGTCTCTGGCCAATGGCTGCCTGCCCTGGCTCCTTTTCTGCGTTCCAAAGTTTGATGGCCCAGGTCTCGGTACATCTTCCCTCATGTTTTCTCCCTTTTTTCACACATTTAGTTCATAAGTTTTCCATCATGGTCCCTCTAAACCAGCAGCCCCATTTCTTCCTCACTTTACAAGCTCATGTGCCTACCACGGGCTGCTCACTATCGCCTTTAACTCAGCTGAGGACTGAGCATGTCCCCCATTCCTGCTTGGTGTTATCAGTCTCCATGGTACTGGTATCCCATGTTTCCTCAGATGAGAATTCTTCTCACTGCAGCCAAGCCTTTCCTGGGGTGGTTCCCATTCCACCGAAGTCAGCAACAGCACTCTATGCTCCCAAAAGGTTCTCCGTGCTTAAGGACTACAGTTAATTTTTCCTCTTCACCATCTCTTCAGAATTCACTCTGAGTTTCTACTTCTTGTGAGATGAGGGCAGAATCCATTGCTATTCCAGCATTCAGACCTTTATGGGATTTCCTGCATAACTTTCCTCTGCCCGCACCCGTCTCTGAGCCCTGCACTTTACTGACATCATTCCACTCAAGTTATCCTTTGATTATAGAGCTTGCATCCTTCATCTTATTTGGGTTCCTTTTCTGGGGACAGCAAAGCCCATATTCTTGTGAATGCCACTCCTGACCCCCACTAGGCAGTCTTCCCCCTTCCCGTACTTGTAATTGGTGTACAAGCTTTTACGATCCTGTGTGGTACATGTCTGTGTCTAGTCACTCCAACCACCCAGGTACACCCTTCTCGGTGAGGTGGGCAACACACAGAGCAGAGGTCTCACACTGACTCCACTTAAGGCAGGCGAGTGTGCTTGTGGCACAGATAGAATGTTTTCCTGGGGCTTCCTGTGCTATTCATGTGATTCTCAAGTCAAGGTGGAGATGGGGTCACCAGCATTGGAGTATGGGACAGGACAACTAACATGTAGACTGTGCTGGAACACAAACAAACAAACAAACAAACAAACAAAAAATAGGGGACTCCAAAATGTGGAGCTCTACAGAAAAGACAACCCCAGAGCCAGGGAAGAAGGTAACAGCCTCCTCCTCTACAGCCACTTTGTAAAGGATTTCCACTGTCACCTGGGTTGACTGCAGCCAGGATGAGTCTTTCCACCTGAACAAATTTCTGCTGCTGATATTGAGAATCAGGGTGGCAGTCCAGTGGCTATTTTTGTACCAGGTCAGAGCTCCGTTTTCCATAGTGTATTTTCCCTCATATCTGCTGACAGGGCAAGATAAGAGCAGAGCTCAATCCCTTTGCTCTGCCACCCTGTTCTAGGAGTTCTGCAAGGATGCAGCATAGTATTTGCCTATTTGCTTAGCAGGGGTGGAGCCATCAGGTCTCAGTTGAAAACAGCCAAGGCTACATGAGTTAACTCTGACCCTGGAGCTTACCACCTGTCTCCACCTTGGGAATCCAAGTCCCTCCCCCCCCCATCTCCCTCTTGTGGAGCCCTATGTGTGGATAATTGCCACGTGTGGATAGTGCAGGATTTAAGGGTGATTCCTTAATGATTGTGTTCTTGCCCATCTCACTAGGGTCAAATGGCAGGTGACCAGGGCTTTTCTCACGTCCTCTAGATCTCACTGTTGCTTTTTTGGACCAGCAGAACACAGAGCAGAAGTTTGATATGTATCCCATTGGCTATACTTGATCTTAGCCAAAAGACTAAAAAGTGACAGATATATTTGGATGGCTGTCTAAGGTACCTTGGGCAGGCAGAGACCTTACTACAGCAGAGCCGCTGCAAGGCAATGCTTGCTGCAGGGTTCTAACTGGGCCCTAGGATGGAAAACTATTCTATGCCTGTTGCTCAGTCACCCAGACCCCTACTTCAGTGTTTGGCATATTGGCACAGGCAAACTTCTGCAAGCATCTTGCGCACCTAAGCTCTGTAGATACTGCTCTGATGGGTCCATATTGTCCCAGGCAGCATGGACCCTGTAGCCCAGCATATGGTTCATGGCTTTAAGTGCTAACTTTCTTCTAGACAGAGCCCTGGCTATATATCCCCAGGTCACACCTCAGCAGTCTTACGTGCCATCTTGATCAAGGTGTTTGCCTTCTGGAACCCAAGCTTTCTTGTCTATAGAATGGGGCAACAGTGGCTACAGATCTTTGGCTTGGCGTTTAACATGAAAAGCTTGTTCACCCATTGCTGCTTTCTTGATTATCCTCATCTGATGCTCCCCAACCCCCCCCCCCACAATCTTTGCACTCTGAAGACCCAGGGGGTCCTACCTGCTTTTCCTTGCCACCTAATGTGGCACCTAATAGGGCTCTGTGCCTAGTGACATGTCATTAGAGCATGAGGTCTCTAGAGGGCATTTTGTCTGTGCTACAGTGAGGGTGACAAGCTTTGGTATAACCTCTGCGAGGTTTGGCTCTTGGGCATTTCACAAACTGGCTGTGTGATGTCAGGCAAGTTCTGATCTCTTAGTTTATCTTATTTGTGAGGTGGGGGGTCATAACACCTCCTCATTGTGACGTCTTAGATCTAGACATGGTGGAGGTGCATGTTTGAGAGGTTTCTATGGCTTTCCCTGCCAGGACTCTGTAAGCAGGATCCTGACCCCCACCCAAGGGGATACCACTTTACCTTCCTTTGGCAAAGCACCAAGACAATGGGAATTCAGAGCTTGCTTCCCTTCTAGCTTAACTGTCCTGACTAGAGACTCTTTCATTCTGTCCTGAGAGCTGGCAGTTTCCTGGCGCACTTCCAGGATCCTTCGCTGAGGGTAGAGGGCCACTTGCTAGGCTCCTCTTCTCTGTCTCAAAAACTCAGTATATGCCAACAAATATAACCTTGGTTAAAGATCTTTCTTGGTCTTTTGCATTCTAGGACCAAGGTACCCTTGTCTCTGCCAATGACAGGCAGACTGTGAATTCCTGTGTTCATTCATGGAAGTGGGGAAAGTCTGTGGGGAGTGGCAGGCAGGTTTTGGCTAGAGAAGGCCGTTGACACTAGCGGTCTGTGGGATAGAAGAAGGCCTGCTCATCAGTCGAAATGCCACATGTGTGTGCATTATGCTGTCATCTGTAGCACCAAACAAATTAGCAAATGTAAGCATGTGCCATATTAACTTTCCAAGGGAACTCACTCAGCCCCTCAGGAGCTCAGCCTGTCTCCTGGGAATCTGTGCCTAACGACCATGTGGCCTTAGCTTAGGCCTGTGGGCCTCACAGTATCTTCCCTAATGGACAGGTGACAGTTCAGTACATGCAGGATAATGGTGCAGTCATCCCTGTGCGCATCCACACCATCGTCATCTCCGTGCAACACAATGAAGACATAACTCTGGAGGCCATGCGAGAAGCCCTGAAGGAACAGGTGATCAAAGCTGTAGTGCCAGCCAAGTACCTGGATGAAGACACCATCTACCACCTGCAACCCAGTGGGCGGTTCGTCATTGGAGGCCCCCAGGTAAGGGCCTGTTGCTGGGTACTGGTGGCTAAACTGCTTGTGTCTCAGAATACACTGATGATGAGAGGTAGTAGTAATGTCTGCCCACGAACTCAGTGTGCTCAGTGAACATTGACCTACACGGAAGGCACTCTGTATATATGTTAATATAAAAAGGGGGGCATGTCTATAGGAGTCTCCCCTTAGAGCGGGTAAGCCCTACCTCCTAGCCATTTCAAATGCTATCATGCTCACACACAGCTCCCATCACCTCTCCATAGTGCGTGTTCATAACTGACCTTTCCAGGCAGCACTTGCTAAATATGAGCTCTGGGGGTCTGCAGCTATTATAGGAAGGACAACAGAGCTGGAGTTTTATAAAAGTTGGCAGAACGGCTGCTCTTTCTCCTACATGTGCACAGAACTGGGAAGGTAGGGCTTGGCAGAGCTGAGGGTGTTGTCACAAGGCTGAGTGTCCACCATAGGTTCTGTGATCAAACAGTGTTGGTGTTGGCCAGAAAGAAGGTTGAATTGCTTGTTTTCTTGAGTAACTGGATTCTCACCAGACTGTTAAATTCATCCCCCCGTCAAAGTGATTTCCTGAAGTGCTGCTACACAGCACATTTATGAAGTGAACAGCAGAGGGCACTGGCCAGCACCGCAGCCCCAGGTTGTATTTATTACAGCACAATTCCTGCCACCAGGAGTACTGCTTCTTGTGATGAACTCAAAAGCAAAGGCCTGTTACCAGATGGCTTCTGGCATGTCTCCTGCACTTTCCAATGAGGACGTTGACAGGTTCCCTGATTTTCTTAGTTGCTTAGTGCCAGGACTGGGACAAGCGCTTGGGATTTCTGCCTGATTAAAAGGGGCCCTGGAGAATGCCCACAGGTGACTCAGGGCATCCTTTTAGGGGCCTTCTCTCTGCCCCCTCGAGCATTCAGGCTCACTGGTTCTCATTTCTTTACCATTTGTTTTCCTCTGCAGGGAGATGCAGGTGTCACAGGCCGCAAGATTATTGTGGACACATACGGAGGCTGGGGTGCTCATGGTGGCGGTGCCTTCTCAGGAAAGGACTACACCAAGGTGGACCGCTCAGCAGCCTATGCTGCCCGCTGGGTGGCCAAGTCCCTGGTGAAGGCTGGCCTGTGCAGGAGAGTACTCGTTCAGGTAGGTTGCCTCCGTTCTCTCTGATCCTTCCTTCACCTCTTTGCCAAAGACCTCAATCCTGCCTGGAGCTAGGAGATAATGGCTCAGTGGGCTTCTTTGCCATTGGTTGCAACTCTTCATGTATTGCATGACTGCTATGGGTGGCAAACTAGGGAAGGAGAGCGCATGACTGAAGACTGAAGAGCTGTCAGGCAGGAGAGATATGGGGGAGGGGGGTCTTGTTAGTTTGATCCCTGCTGCTCTGCTCTGTGAAATCTCTCTGAGGGCCTCAGTTCCTGAGTCAGATCTTTCTGGAAGGTGTCCTATGCCATTGGTGTGGCAGAACCGCTGTCCATTTCCATCTTCACCTATGGGACCTCCAAGAAGACCGAGCGGGAGCTGCTAGAGGTGGTGAACAAGAACTTCGACCTCCGGCCCGGTGTTATTGTTAGGTAAAAGTACTATCAGGCTGCTTGTTGCACGGAACCTTGCCACTCCTGCACCCAGCACAGAGGGCTCCAAAGTCTCTTACAATAGGAGGGTCTCAAGTCCTGGCCCCTTAGCAGAGTGTCTGGCCCCATAGCACAGTCCATGACCCAAACTTGGGGTATCTGGGTTTCAGAGGAAGGAGGCCCTGCAGATACTATCCCTGGTGTGGCCATCTTTGGGCAGCTGGGGCTTCTCAGGCCAGATGGTTAGGAATCCAGTAGGCAAGTCCTTTTCTACAGGTTCTCATGGCATCCACATTTTCAGGTTCTGGGCTATGAGAGCACTGGCCTAGGCAAAATCATGGAGTAGAAAGTTACCTCGGCCTGTGTGTTGTGTTAGTGTTCAGCTGTCTGTGACCTTGGAACCTTTACTTCTTAAACTGAACAGTACAGGGCTGTGGTATACATAGGGTGCAGGTGTGGGTGAGAAAGCTCTCCTAGGACCACCCCTTGAGCTTACCTTTTCCTACTTAAATATGATCCTTGCCTCCTCTGACTGCAGGGACTTGGACCTGAAAAAGCCCATCTACCAGAAGACTGCGTGCTATGGCCATTTTGGGAGGATGGAGTTTCCCTGGGAGGTCCCCAAGAAGCTTGTGTTCTAGAGCTGGTGGGATGTTTGGCTTTGTTCCATAGTCTCTTCTTGTCCAGGATCTCAACTCCCATGTCTCCTAGCCTCTCTCAGAGTTCTGTTTCCTCTCTCTCTCTCAGGGCAAAGCCAGCTTCTTCTCATTTTTCCTATCTAGCAATTTGCAAACATCTCATGGATGACATAGAAAGTGGCTATCTGGTGTGAGGTTATCAGGTCTCCTTGCAAAGATAATCAGTGTTCCCCCTGTCTGTCCCTCAGATAATGACAGTGTTGATTTTGTGAAAATGTCACCTCTGTCAGGTATGGAGTTGCCCCTCAACTCCTCCCGTAGTCTGAACCTGACTAGGCCATCTCTTCCTCCCTCCTGGGCATCTGCCACATATAATATGGTCAGTGTCCCCTGAACGTTTGCACTGTGTGAGGGACTGAGCTGTGGACTCTTCACCACAGCACAATAAGGTGGCATCTTTATTATCCATATTAACAGATGAGGAAACTGAGGTACAGAGAGTCCATGGAGCTCTCACAAGTTCCCACAGCCACATGTATCAGAGCAAAGAAGTGGATTTGGGGTTTTGACTCTGTAACTGTCACATCTGCATCCCAAACCAGATGTTGGTCCGAGTGATGACCAAGTGGGTTGACTTGAGGCTGCAGCCTCTTATTTAAGGCCCATGTGTCCTGGGAATTAGGAGATGAACCCATTGTCTATTGGTAAGCCCTGGTCAGTGTCCCAGGAAGTCAATATGGAAACATAGAAGAGGGTTCAAGGCAAGCTTGATATCTTGGCCTAGGAAGGTGGGCTGGAGTTTGGAACTAAGAAAAAGCTTCATGGTCCTAGCTCCCATCATTCAAAGGCATGGTGTCTAATCATAGACAGCTCCATGTGTTTCCCTCTCCATAGAGGAGAGGCGATAGCTTGTTGCAGCACAGGCAACCAACCTCTGATAGGGGACCCTGCCCACCTCTTCTTCCCTGGACCCTTATGCTTACTCAGTCTAAATGCTCCTTGGGAAGTGAATGCTCCAGGTGCAGAGTCAGCCTCCAAGCAGTGGACAAGTTACCCAAGATCTCATAAGAGCTGGCTTTAACCAGGTAGTTTTTGTGGCCTCTGTCTGTCTACCAGGGTCCTGGAAGCTATATGTTCCTATGCTGTCCCATCATGATCAGTACCACTTATCCAACCTCTCCCTAGCTGGGGCCTCCCCACAGCAGACCCTCTGCTAGCTCCTAGGAACATGGGTTCAGGAAGGGACCTGGCTCACAGTGCTGTTTCTGCTGGGAGAAGGGCTCAGCAGCTTTACCAAGGAGCAGATGCCTTTAATCTGTGCTTTGACTAGACCACAAAGAGCCCGGTTTTTTCCCCTTCCACCAACGTGAGGAATAGCAGGGGGAAAGTTCAAATGGCCAAAAATTCCTGGAGCTGTGTGTAGCTTAGAAGCTTGGGTCTCTCCATGGGGTTCTCGGTTGTCTGGAGCAAAGTTCCTCATAGCAGAGGGAAGGATAAGTGTGCAGATGGCTGAGTTCCTGTAATTTTAGCTGTATCTAAATAAAAATCCAGAATTATATACTTCCCCTAACCCTCATACTAATGAGACTCTTCTTTCAATGTTTCGTATAAAACAAAGCCGACACTTGTTACTATTACCTGATAGTATGGTGAATAAAAAACTCAAGGAGCAAGGACTCTGTGCTTTCTGTACTTGCAGTGTGTGTGTGTGTGTGTGTGTGTGTGTGTGTATTCATGCATGTGCATGTCCAGGGGAGGATGCTGGGTGGCCTGCTCCATCATACTCTGCCTTATCCCTTTGAGATAGAGTGTCTCACCAAACCTGGAGCCAGGCTGGTGGCCAGCAAGCCCTAGTGATCCTCTTGTCTTCACCCCCATCACCATGCTGGAGTTACAGACCTGTTCATGGCCACACACAGCTTTTATAGATGAGTGCTAAGGATTTGAACTCACGTCCCTGTGCTTGTATTCCAAGTGTACTTCTCCACAAAGAGACCTCCTCAGCCCCATTATCATTTTTTTTTTTTTTTTGGCAAAATCTGAACTGCTTCACTGCAAAGCACTTCTGACTCTCCCACTTCTAAGAAAACCTGGGTACCTTATTACCCCAACCGGAACTAATGTTTTCTCACTAAACGGCTCCTGTGCTGTCACTGAGTTAGATGCTGCATGTCCCTCTGAGTTAGAGATGCTTAGTCATTCCTCCTGGAGCCATCAAACCTGAGGCTGTGTTGAATGAGCTGGGACTTACTCATTTTCCTAGGAGCAGGTGTTGTTGGGGAAGTAGTCAATTTTTGGACATGTACTTTCATGCAGGCTGAGAGGGCAGGTCTGTATTTTTCTTCATTCCCATCACCTGGGTACTTGGAAGGATTGGGGTGTAACTAAGTTCCAGGCCTACTGAGGAGAGGAGAGGAGAGGAGAGGAGGAGAGGCAACAGCTGAAGCTAGGTGGTCTCAGGTCTTGTATGTGCCTGGCTCTGTATCTAAAGCAGTCTGTAGGTCCGAAAGTCTAGGGGATAGCCACCTCACAGAAAAAGTGACACAGTCTGCAAGAATCTCTGTGAGCTACAAGACTCCTCCTACCCCCCACAAAACATCTGGGGATGCTTATTTATGGGAGGAAGGTTTATGAATGGAAAATGGAAAAACACTACTAAAAGGAGTGAAGAGCTCAGAATTTCATCTTCTATCACCTGCCAGGCTGGCAATTGGCAATTGGTGACGCTGGGAATCTTGGAGCCAGTTGTCATCAGGGATGCAAGTCTTGAAAAGCTCCAGTAGATGGTCCTATACCCACACAAATACAGGCAACACTATGTGGAATCTGTTTTTTGAGCACATGAAGTTGGGAGAAAATAGGGTGGGGTACAGTGTTGCATGCATGACATTCTAAAACAATAAAAGAAGAAGGGCTAGGAAGTTGGCTCAATAACTAATGTGCTTGCTATGCAAGCAGCAAGTATAAGAACAGGGGTACAGATCCCCAGAACCCAGGTTATAGATGGCAGCCCACCTATAATTCCTGCACTCAGAAGGTAGGGGCAGGGGATTCCCCAAGAGCAAGATGGCCGGCTAGACTCTACCAACAAGCCCTGAGTTCAAGTGAGAGGTCTTGTCTGAAGAAATAAGCTTGAGAAGTGGTTGTGTAAGAAACCCAAATGCCAGCCTCTGCTTGTGTGTGCACGTATGCACACACACACCCACACTCACATATTTATATAAGGTCATTCATGTTCACATGCACACCACACACAGAAACACATGCAAAAAGGAAGTAAGAAAGAGAATATACTTTTGAGCTATGGAGCTCTCGAAAGTCATTATTGTAGCAAAATATGGATGTCTGTTTTCTATCATTATGATAAAACACTACGACCAAAAGCAACTCAGTGAGAAAAGCTTACAGTTGTAATCTGTCCTGTAAGGAAGTCAGAAGGAAGAAACAGAAGCCAGGGAGGCACATTGCTTACTGGCTTGTTCCTTGCAGCTGGCTCATCCTACTTTCTCATACAAACCAGGACAGCCCAGAAGTGATACCCCCATTTATGAGCTGGGCACTCCCACAACAATTGTTGAGAAAATACCCAAAGGCTTGCCCATAAGCAATCAGATGGAGGCATTTCCCCAACTGAGGTTTCCTTTTCCCAGAGGACCCTAGTTTGTGTCAAGTTAACAGAAAATCCAAGCAGCACTATAGAAGAAGTGAAGGAGGTTGAGAGAATACCCAGGAGGTGGCTTGTCTTTGGAAGCCAATACTATGAGAAATATCGCTATAAGTTTGATAACTTGAGGCTTAGGAAGGTTTTACTGGGCCAAATCACGGCTCTATGTGAGGCTCTGTGTAATGTCATACTTTCATTCAAACATGTTCTGTGCATTATCAATATATGTTACTACTTAAAAATAGTCTAGTTTTAATTAGCTAAAAGGAAAGTATTTTCCTCAAATTGCACCCCAGCACTATAAGTTTATAGAACTTAATAATTTGTGACCATTTAACTTATCCACATTATGATTTCTAGAATATATGAATCATTAGTTTTAATTAGGCGACTGTTAATATGGACATTTCTAAATATGATAGCACTACCTTGGAGCAGTTAAGCCTCCTAGAACATTATAGGCTCCTGCTTTCATGTGGCTTAGCGGAGAGAACACAAGAGGCTCTTTATAGCTTTCGGTAATTTGATTCAATCATGACTGGATCAGGTTGACTTTGTGGAGTATATGTGTATGGAATGAGGGCCCAGGGAGCCCTGCTGGTCTGACTTCAGCAGGGTTGTTATCCCATGGCCATCAGGATACTGTCCATGGTTGGGGCTGAGCTCAGCTTTTCATGGAAGGAGAAAGTAGTATTTGGAGTTCCTCAGCCCTTCTTCACCTCATCAGAGCATCTGGGCCACAAGAGCATCAACATGACCACCATCCATATGGTCACATTCTGAGAGCTTCAGGTTAGCCCGTTAGGAGTTTGTGATGTCTGCAACCTCAGGACCAAAATTTATAAATGAGTGCTGTTGAGCTCAGTAGCCCAGTGAAACTGAGGCAAGGTGAAGCATGTCAGAGCTGTTTGGACATGGACAAAGAATAAGGCCAGAGCTTCTAGGTGATATGGAGTGATGTCTTATTTATATTCTAACAAAGCATTCCTGAAGATCAGAGGGTGGAGCTAGCTACTAGCTAGTCATAGAGGTCTGAAAGTCTGTATAGGCAGACAGGGAAGTGATATTTCTGGGCAGAGAGAGGAAGTGTTAAGGCAGGAGGAGACAGGAGCTTAGTCTCTTTCCGACTGTTAGTGAGGGAAGGTGTGGCTATGGCTTGCTCCTTGTCTCTCTGATCTCTCAGGATTTACCCCTGCATCTGACTTCAGGCTTTTATTATTAAAACCTACTAGAACTCATGCTACAGTGGTATGGTGGGCAGTCTTGAGTCCTGAGGCCTAGGTGGGATCAACCCTGTAGACTGAAAGGCCAATCTGAGAAACAGAAAGGTCATTGCCAAACTCTTGTTTTTCCAGGTTACAATCACCTTAGTACCTAAGCCACACAAAGACTCAACTGAAAAAGAGAACTACAGGCCAATATCCCTCATGAATATTGATGGAAAAATACTCAATAAAACACTGGCAAATTGAATACAAGAATACATCGAAGAAATCATCCACCATGACCAAGTAGGCTTCAACCCAGGGTTGCAGGGATGGTTCAACATATGAAAATCCATCAATGTAATCCACCATATAAATAAACTGAAAGAGAAAAACCACATGATCATCTCACTGGATGCTAAAAAACCTTTGACAAAATCCACCACCCCTTCATGATTAAGGTCTTAGAGTGATCAGGGATAACAGAAATATAGCTAAACATAATAAAGGCAATATACAGCAAACCAAAAGACAACATAAAATTAGATGGAGAGAATGTTGATGTGATTTCTCTAAAATCAGGAACAAGACAAGGCTGTCCACTCCATATCTCTTCAATATTGTACTTGAAGTTCTAGCTAGAGCATAATTCAACAAAAGGATAAAGGGAGAAGTCAAACTTTCACTATTTGCAGATGATATATATATATATATGATTGTTTACCTAAGTGACCCAAAAAACTCTACCAGGGAACTCTTACAGCTGATAAACTTCTTCAGCAAAGTGGCAGGATACAAGATTAACTTAAAAAAGTCAGTAGCCCTGCTATGTACTGACTGTAAAAGGCCTGAGAAAGAAATCAGAGAAACATCACCTTTTATGATAGACACAAACAACATAAAATATCTTAGGGTAACACTAACCAAACAAATGAAAGACCTATATAAGAACTTTGAGTCTTTAAAGAAAGAAATTAAAGAAGATACCAGAAAATGGTATCTCTCATGCTCTTGGATAGGTATGATCAACATAGTAAAAATGTCAATCTTGCCAAAAGCAGTCTACAAATTAAATGCAATCCCCACCAAAATCCCAGCACAATTCTTCATAGACCTTGAAAGGGCAATACTCAACTTTATATGAAAACAAAACAAAACAAAAACCAAAAAAAAAAAAAAAAAACCAAAAACAAACAAACAAACAAAAAAACCCCAGGATAGCCAAACAACGTTGTACAATAAAGGAACTTCTGGAGGCATCACCATCCCTGACTTCAAGCTCTATTATAGAGTTATAGTCCTGAAAACAGCTTGGTATCACCACAAAAATAGACAGGTAGAGCAACGGAATCAAATTGAAAACCCTGATAGTAACCCACACACCTATGAACACCTGCTTTTTGACAAAGAAGCTAAAATTATACAATGGAAAAATGAAAGCATCTTCAACAAAATGATGTTGGCATAACTGGATGCTGATCTGAAGAAGACCACAGATAGATCCATATCTGTCGACATACACAAAAATGGATCAAAGACCTCAACATAATCCAGCCACACAGAACCTCTTAGAAGAGAAAGTAGGAGGTACGGATTGGTACAGGAAACCACTTTCTGAAGTTAACACCAGTAACACAGACACTGAGATCAACAATTAATAGTGGAACCTCTTGAAATTGAAAAGCTTCTGTATGATAAAGGACACAGCAAGACAAAATGGCAGCCCACAGAATGGGAAAAGATCTTCACCAACCCCACATCTGACAGAGGGATGATTTCCAAAACATACAAAGAACCCAGCAAG